CCACCCCCCACCGTCCCTCCCCTATGTCCCCCCAACTGACCCCGGTGTGTAGTACTCCCTTCCCTGTGCCCATGTGTTCTCATTGTTCAACATCCGCCTGTGAGTGAGAACATGTGGTGTTTGATCTTCTGCTCTTCTGTCAGTTTGCTGAGAATGATGGTTTCCAGGTTCATTCATGTCCCTACAAAGGACACAAACTCATCGTTTTTTATGGCTGCATAATATTCCATGAAATTCCATTTGACCCAGCAATCTGATTACTGGGTATATATCCAAAGGATTATAAATCGTTCTACTGTAAGGACACGTGCACACAAATGTTCATTGCAGCACTGTTTACAATAGCAAAGGGTTTTCTTTATATGAGAATTTAAATTTAAATCAGCAGACTTTGGGTATACCTAATGCTCTCCCCAATGTGGGTGGGCCTCATCTAGTCCCTTGAAAGCCTTCAGAGAAGAAGACTGGGGTCCTCCTCAAGATGAAGAAATTCTGCCTCCACACTGCCCATGGATTTAAGATCTCATATCACTTCTGCCACGAGTATCCAGTCTGACATCCTACTCTGTGAGATTCAGACTTGTCAGTTGCAAATCCTCCTCGAGCTAGGTCTTCAAACTCAATGTCTCCCTCTCTCTCTCTCTCTCTCTCTCTCTCTCTCTCTCTCTCTCTCTCCCTCTCTCTGTCTCCACCCACTCACACACACATGTGCACATATGCACACACAGTGAAGAACCCTAACCAATAGGCTGCTGACATCTGGGACCCTTAAAGGACATAACTGAGATCAGTACTGCAGGTTGCTCTCACTCTGCTGCACGGCTCCTGATGCAGAGGCCTGTGGCATTCCCTTCGCATCCACTGAAATCCATCACTGTGACTCAGGGTTTGCTCATCCAACAATGTAGAGATCACTAGAGTTCCACAAGTGTTCCCTGCTCTCCTCCTGGCTGTGAGAGCCTCTGTTCTATTCTGAGAACACAGAGATCTACTGGGTTTGTTTCCAACCTTCGAGGAAGGACCTGGGAGCCCGGTGAGGGAGGTTCACCTGCAACAGCAGTAACAGCAGTGGGCACAGCCAGTGTGTTCACCAACTCATGAGAGATGACATTACCAACATCTCCCACTTAAGTGTCCCCGTCAACTAACAGCTTATCCTGGAAGTGATCATGTTCGTAGGTCAGTTGGATTTCCCTTATTCTATTTTCCCCAGAAATGCACAGATGTAAAGCAAACTGATACTGGAATGTTCTGTTGGAGTGCAATCCACGAAAGGAATGCCCTGCAGTGGTATGATTTCCAAAGTAGTCAATAAGGCTTTCTAAGTTCCCAGATGAAGCAATATACAGGTCTCCCTCAGTTTATAGAGAGTGACAAGTATGGAAAATCCAGTTTATTGAAGACTCCGGAAAAATATGCTTGCTTTGCTGTAACACTCAGTTCCCAAATGAGAGTAGCCCCTGCTACTTGCATTCCAACAACTGCAGCAGCCCCCAGAAATTTCCAAAACACCCCAAAGTGGGAGAAGATTTTTATGGCCATAAACCACAGTTTAGGATCAAAAAGAAGTATCCTCAAACTTCTTATTTACATCAAAAGAATAAGAATGTTGCAGTTGGTACAGAGGAAATAGCAGGGTAACATGGAGAAGGACACAGTGTTCCCCAGCGGTGCTTGCAGGCACCTTCCTCCTCTGCCCTGCTTTCTGTGATAAGAAAGTGGTTCAGGGATTGGCGAGGTGGCTCCTGCCTCTAATCCCAGCACATTGAGAGTTCGAGGCATGAGTATTGCTTGAACCCAGAGTTTCAGATCAGCCTGGGAAACATAAGGACACCCCACCTCTGAAAAAAAAAAAAGTGACCAGGGGTGGTGGAGCGTGCATGTTGTCCCAGCTACTTGGGAGACTGAGATGGAAGGATCCCATGAACCTGGGAGGTCAAGGCTGCAGTGAGTTATGATTTCTCCACTGTACTCCAGGCTGAGCAGCAGACCTCGTCTGAAACAGCAACAAGTAGTTTGGGGCCAGCTGGGGTGTGCAGTGAAGCTTATCCCAGAAAAGATCTGTTGCTAGGTAAGGTGGATTCCCCTCATTGTTTCCCCCAGGCGTGAAGAGCTACGAAGCAAACTGATACTGGAATGTTGTGTCAGAGTGGGATCCAAGAATGGAATGGCCTGC